TAAGACTTAATGAGTCCTGGCTGGATAGGACTTAATGAGTCCTGGCTGGATAGGACTTAATGAGTCCTGGCTGGATAGGACTTAATGAGTCCTGGCTGGATAGGACTTAATGAGTCCTGGCTGGATAGGACTTAATGAGTCCTGGCTGGATAGGACTTAATGAGTCCTGGCTGGATAGGACTTAATGAGTCCTGGCTGGATAAGACTTAATGAGTCCTGGCTGGATAAGACTTAATGAGTCCTGGCTGGATAGGACTTAATGAGTCCTGGCTGGATAGGACTTAATGAGTCCTGGCTGGATAGGACTTAATGAGTCCTGGCTGGATAGGACTTAATGAGTCCTGGCTGGATAGGACTTAATGAGTCCTGGCTGGATAGGACTTAATGAGTCCTGGCTGGATAGGACTTAATGAGTCCTGGCTGGATAGGACTTAATGAGTCCTGGCTGGATAGGACTTAATGAGTCCTGGCTGGATAGGACTTAATGAGTCCTGGCTGGATAGGACTTAATGAGTCCTGGCTGGATAGGACTTAATGAGTCCTGGCTGGATAGGACTTAATGAGTCCTGGCTGGATAAGACTTAATGAGTCCTGGCTGGATAGGACTTAATGAGTCCTGGCTGGATAGGACTTAATGAGTCCTGGCTGGATAGGACTTAATGAGTCCTGGCTGGATAGGACTTAATGAGTCCTGGCTGGATAAGACTTAATGAGTCCTGGCTGGATAAGACTTAATGAGTCCTGGCTGGATAGGACTTAATGAGTCCTGGCTGGATAAGACTTAATGAGTCCTGGCTGGATAAGACTTAATGAGTCCTGGCTGGATAGTTTGTTGGTTTTCTTAAGAGAGTTAGTAAGTTTAAACCTCGCGAAACAATAGGTAGGTCTTTCTAAACAATAGGTAGGTCATTCTAAACAATAGGTAGGTCATTATAAACAAAACAAAACAAAGTTAACATGACTTTCAAAATGAGACATCAAGGACTGGTCAAGATAAGATGTCATAACGAGATAAGATGTCATAACGAGATAAGATACCATAACGAGATACGATATCATAACGTGATTAAGATGGCATGAGTTAAGATGGCATAAAGAGATAAGATGTCTTAAAAATATAAGATGCCATAAAGAGATCAGATGCCATAAGGAAATAAGATGTCACCAATTTGTGTAAAGGTAATAATATTTTATTCCAGTATTCGTCTGTCGTCAAAATAAAATTTGTTTAGATAATACTTGGAGAGAAAATCGATTTGTCCGTTGTGAGAAAAAGTCCGACCTGGTCAAAATCACATTTAAAGTCCTCTTTCATCGACTCCTATGGATTCTTTCATTCCACGGAAGGTGACTTGAAGCTCCTATCAGATTGTTCAATACTCGCTAACAAGGGGCACAACTCTGGCTATAACCCTACGGTAGGTTCGGGGGGAGGCACTAATTAAATCTACGATGTGCTCATATGGGGAAGAGCTGGGTAAAACAATTAGATTTCCATTTACTACCCACCGTGGTGTCAATTAGTTTGATTTTCAAAATTACATTGATTGATTTTCCTTTCCTTTTAAAAGGTTTACTTCCAGTGGACTCCACAAGGAGGATTGCCCCCCTCACCCACCCCTCTCTTAAGATGGTGTTTACTTTCAGCGCGTCAACAAATCTTACTTTTAGTTTTGAAACTGGTTCAACCCAGTTTGATCTTTTCTTTTACATTAACTTTTCTTACAGGGATAGATGAGAGTTTTAGAATTTCGAATCAACCTGTAGACTAGTTGGCCTGTCAAATGACTGGATGACCTACATTTTGTCTGTATGACCTGCGTATGGACTGGGAAGACCTACCATTGATTAGAATGACCTACTTATTAATTAGAATTACCTAAAATTGATAAGAATGACCTAACTACATATTAGATGAGTTACTTATTAACTATAATGACATACCTATTGTTTAGAATGACCTACCTAAATATTATATGACCTCCATAATGTTTATAATGACCTACCTATTAATTAGAATGACCAACCTATTGTCTATAATTGCCTATCTATAGATTAGAATGACCTACATATATATTATATGACCTACCTGTTGATTAGAATGATTGACCTATTGATTATAATGATCTACCTATTATGTAGAATGACCCACCTATTTTTAGAATGGTCTACCCATTGATTAGAATGATCTACCTATATATTAGATGACCTACCAATTGATTAGAATAACTGTCCTATTCTTTAGAATGAACTACCTCTAAATTAGAATGACCTACCTATTGATTATAATGACCTACATATATATTAGATGACGTACCTATTGATTAGAATGAGCTATCTATTTATTAAAATGGTGTATCTATTGACTAGATGACCTACGTATTGACCTACGTATTGACTAGATGACCTACCTATTGACTAGATGACCTACCTATTCACTAAATGACCTACCTATTGACTAGATGACATACATATTGACTAGATGACCTACCTATTGACCAAATGACCTACCTATTAACCAAATGACCTACCTATTGATTAGATGACCTACCTATTGGTTAGATGACCTACCTATTGATTAGATGACCTACCTATTGACTATATGACCTACCTATTGACGAGATGACATACCTATTGACTAGATGACTTTCCTATTGACGAGATGACCTACCTATTAACTAGATGATCTACCTATTGACTACAGAACCTACCTATCGACTAGATGACCTACCTACTTACGTTACGACCTACCTATTGACTAGATGACCTAACTACTGACTAGATGACCTACCTACTGACTAGATGACCTACCTACTGACTAGATGGCCTACCTACTGACTAGATGACCTTCTTACTGACTAGATGACCTTCCTACTGACTAGAGGACCTACCTATTGACTAGATGACCTAACTACTGACTAGATGACCTAACTACTGACTAGATGACCTACCTACTGACTAGATGACCTACCTACTGACTAGATGGCCTTCCTACTGACTAGATGACCTTCCTACTGACTAGATGACCTACCTACTGACTAGATGACCTACCTACTGACTAGATGACCTTCCTACTGACTAGATGACCTACCTATTGACTGGAATGACTTCCTGGTCAAACAAACAGAGACTCCCCTACGCAGCATCCAGTCCGACATGTATCCAGTAATTAGGCCAGTTAGTATTCGCCCTGCGAATGGAAGAGACGACAGGAGCCCGTCCTACAGAAAGAAGAAATCTCATTTGTATGTGGCTTTCTCTAAGCTCTGATGGGGAGTTTAATTTTGTTCATTGTATGGTACACCTACTGCTTTTCTAGTTGAGCAATTTCTAATTCACTTTGCCCGTATTATCATCGGCCAAACTGGTCAAGTCGTAATTAGGTAAGAAACGAATCTTAGGATTTAATGATGTATTTAAATTCTTTTACCCATTTACCATATTTTGTTTTAAAATCAATCTTTTAAAATTTCCTCCTCTAATTTTTTGTTTCTTCATTTTTTTTTTTCAAGCTGAAAAAGTCCATAAATAAAGTATTTGTAAATTTGAATTTAGACTTAAATAAAAAAAAAAAAAAACTGCTTTTGCTATTGACTTTATAAAAACCACCAGAGTAGTCTAACTTTGAACATACCATCTACCAATAATTTAAATATAGGGCAACAACTCAAACTAAGCACTTGACTGCAAGGCGGCTAATGTAGTGACATATTTCTAGTTTAAAAAGTTTCAAAGATTCAATAACTTCAATTGTTATTGCATATCTATCAAATGTAGGAAATACATTTTTAATTTGCTGCCCCGGTTATAACAATAGATTATACATATATCAGATGTTGCCCCGGTTATAACAATAGATTATACATATATCAGTTGCTGCCCCGGTTATAACAATAGATGATACATATATCAGATGTTGCCCCGGTTATAAAAATAGCTTATACATATATCAGATGTTGCCTCACTATAACAATAGATTATACATTTATCAGATGTTGCCTCACTATAACAAGAGATTATACATATATCATATGTTGCCCCGGTTATAACAATAGATTATACATATATCAGATGTTGCCTCACTATAACAATAGATTATACATATATCAGATGTTGCCTCACTATAACAGTAGATTATACATATATCAGATGTTGCCTCACTATAACAATAGATTATACATATATCAGATGTTACCTCACTATAATAATACTTACTACATACATTGCAACCTGGAAATTTTCTCTTTAATACCAGATACAGAAACATTGCAAATACCCTCTACATACATAGGAGCCAGAATGAACTATGCATTGATCGTGGTCCCTTAATATAAAGAAGAAGATATATCACATGTTGCCTCACTATAACAGTAGACACTATATGCATTAGATGCTGCTTTGACTTACTGTCTTCAGATCAAACTGAAAGAAATCATTGAAGTATCTGGGTAGATAGGACAACATAAAGGACAAGATCCACTTGTTGGAGATGTGGCCCATTAGGATGACCCACACGGCTGGTGATTTGAGGATCCTTCGCCAAGGCGTGTTCAGTGGCTGGAAAATAGTTAGGGTACTCCAGAAAACACGTCACTACCAGTTATATGCCTCTACCAAATAAAACTCACTGCCAACTACATGCCACTCTCAACTACATGTCATGCCACTCTCAACTACATGCCACTCTCAACTACATGCCACTCTCAACTACATGTCATGCCACTCTCAACTACATGCCACTCTCAACTACATGTCATGCCACTCTCAACTACATGCCACTCTCAACTACATGCCACTCTCAACTACATGCTACTCTCAACTACATGCCATGCCACTCTCAACTACATGCCACTCTCAACTACATGCCACTCTCAACTACATGCCACTCTCACCTACATGTCATGCCACTCTCAACTACATGCCACTCTCAACTACATGTCATGCCACTCTCAACTACATGCCACTCTCAACTACATGCCACTCTCAACTACATGCCACTCTCAACTACATGCCACTCTCAACTACATGCCACTCTCAACTACATTTCATGCCACTCTCAACTACATGCCACTCTCAACTACATGTCATGCCACTCTCAACTACATGCCATGCCACTCTCAACTACATGCCACTCTCAACTACATGTCATGCCACTCTCAACTACATGCCATGCTACACTCAACTCCATGCCACTCTCAACTACATGTCACTCTCAACTACATGACATGCCACTCTCAACTACATGCCATGCCACTCTCAACTACATGCCACTCTCAACTACATGCCACTCTCAACTACATGCCACTCTCAACTACATGTCATGCCACTCTCAACTACATGTCATGCCACTCTCAACTACATGTCATGCCACTCTCAACTACATGTCATGCCACTCTCAACTACATGTCATGCCACTCTCAACTACATGTCGTGCCACTCTCAACTACATGTCATGCCACTCTCAACTACATGTCATGCCACTCTCAACTACATGCCACTCTCAACTACATGCCACTCTCAACTACATGTCATGCCACTCTCAACTACATGTCATGCCACTCTCAACTACATGTCATTCCCAAGTCAATGAAATATCACAAATCTATTTAATATCCATACATTTTTACCCAAAAAAAAAACTTTAATACACCCAAATCTATTTCACCCTTAACTTATTTTACGACCAAATACCTGGTTGTCATCAAACGCTTCCAGTCTTTTGTTGAATGTGATTATGGCCAGCTCGTGCTTAGTAATGCGTGGATGGCTATCAGGGGCGTCGTAGACAGTGTACCACCAAGCAGGGGCCAGGAGCAAACACATCGCACCTTCAAGAGGAACATTAATAGTAAAACAAATAATATATCTTGATGTTTCATGGAACATGCAGGAACTATCTGTCAAATGGAACATACAGGAACTATCCGTCAAATGGAACATACAGGAACTATCTGTTAAATGGAACATACAGGAACTATCTGTTAAATGAAACATACAGGAACTATCTGTTAAATGGAACATACAGGAATTATCTGTTAATTGGAATATGCAGGAACTATCTGTTAAATGGAACATATAAGAAGTATCTTTTATATGGAACTTACAAGAACTTTCTTTTAGATGGAACATACAAAAACTATCTGTTATATGGAACATAAATTACTTCTTTTTTGTTGTCAGAACCCCTTATCGATTGATAGATAACAGTGTTGTAAAGGAAGCATTTATCTTTAGAAAAAAAAAAAAAAGAGAGACTATCGCGATAAAATTAACGCGTACTTTAAAACATGAATAGCGTCCCTTGAAAGTATAAAACTTTCCAGAGTAGCTGCAATTTTATTTCTGTATGATGTAAGTTCTCTATAACAGATACTTCTTCTATATAACCAGTCATTCGTTTTTACTGAATGCTGTTAATAAATGCTGTTAATAAATGCTGTTAATAAATGCTGTTAATGAATGCTGTTAGCGATTGCTTTTTATTGAGTTGTGTTAGTGAATGCTAATAGTGAATGTTGTTGACACAACAGAAGAAGGCAATTTCACTTTGCTTGAAACTTACAACTTTAAACTAATGGAACATTGTTAGAAAAAATGTTTGGTAAACAATTCATTAAATATAGATTTTAAAAAATAAATAATGTCTTTTGCTTTTAAGACTAATATATTTATTTATTTATTTATTTAGGCATTTTTATATAGCGCTTACCTTAAAGCTCTAAGCGCTTTACAATTATTAAAAACATGTAAACTAAGTAAAATAAAAATGAGACACTAGGATAGTAAGATGATATGATATCTTTGTTAATTTTACCGTATAAAACGAGGACACTTTGGCACGTTTTGGCCTATACTACAGGATCAACCCGAGACAGAAAATGAGGCAGGGCAAGGAGGGTGCATCACAGGTCATGGGTGGACCTAAACAGATGGGTTTTAAAGGACTTTTTGAAAGTGGACGAGGTTTCACAATGACGGATGTGGAAGGGGAGCTGGTTCCAGAAATGTGTGGGTCTTTGTTCTGGATCAGGTCTCGTCAACTTTAAGTAATGTCAGAAATTTGAGAGAAATCAACTTACCAAACAAATAAAATATGTACGGCCAACCCTTGCCATCTCCACCAATAGATACAAGGTACCCACACACGAGGAATGTGAGGACTCCTGCAACACTCAATCCTGGGGAGATTTGAGGACAATGTGTTTAAAATTGTACGCAAACGCTTGGCCGTTAGAGAGAGTCTCCATCAGGTACTGCAAAGTTTGGTCACGTGATGTGTGTTAAAAAGTTGTATCACATATAAATTATATTAGACGAACTTTGGACAAGATCTGGGCACAAGGTATGGCCTCGAAACATGGACATGAGTTATGAACCAGAGATGTCCAGGGGGACCTGCTGTAGGCTAAATGTTCGGACAGTTTACTCGGGTACCCGATTTTAAGAAATTATTTTTAAAATCATAGTAAACTATAACATTATGACCACGAATTTGATTATTTTGACCTTCTACTGCAGGCCTGCACAACTCAAAATGTAAGGCGGGCCGTAATGCATTATGAAAAACTTGTGCGGGCCAAAAAATATGGGTCAGGGGGAAAGCTATTGAGAAAATTATTAGAATAGCGAGTTTTTCGTAATCTCGCGGGCCGCAAACTGGGTGCTGGCGGGCCACATGCAGCCCACAGGCCTTATGTTGTGCAGACCTGCTCTACTGCCATGAGCGCCCACTGTCGCCTACCATATTCCAACTGGCGTTTGTCTACTACGCCAGGCGGTGAAAGGTATTTTCAATATATTTTTTGTGTCACTATCTGATAGAACAAGTAGAAATTCACCACCATTTTCTTTCAAGTACGATCGCCTATCTTCTGTTTTTAAATACTAAAACTAAAACACAAAAACTGTGTCCCGCACTCGTTAGTGGTTGAAAATAATAGCAGAGCTCGGATAGCAGCCTTAGAAATTCCAGGATATTCTCCCTTGAATTGAAAAAAAAAAACTCCAAAGGAATTTCGTTGAACTTAATGCACTTTGAACCTGGAGCTAGAAGTTTTGTGTAGTTTTTGTGTAGAGTTTTTGTGTAGTTTTTGTGTAGAGTTTTTGTGTAGTTTTTGTGTAGAGTTTTTGTATAGAGTTTTTGTATAGAGTTTTTGTGTAGTTTTTGTGGAGAGTTTTTGTGTAGAGTTTTTGTATAGAGTTTTTGTGTAGAGTTTGTGTAGAGTTGTTGTGGAGAGTTTTTGTGTAGAGTTTTTGTGTAGAGTTGTTGTGGAGAGTTTTTGTGTAGAGTTTATGTGTAGAGTTGTTGTGGAGAGTTTTTGTGTAGAGTTTTTGTGGAGAGTTTAAAGGAAAAGATTTTAGTATTCATTGCACTACTCCATATTTACCGTATGAAAGTTTGGTTCAAATTGTGTCTGCAGCAATGTTAGATGTTGTTGTGGCACTGTTGGAGGTTTTTGGTCATATCTAAAGTGTCATATCTAAAGTGTCGTATCTAAAGTGTCATATCTAAAGTGTCAGATCTAAAGTGTAATATCTAAAGTATCATATCTAAAGTGTCATATCGTAAGTGTCATATCTTAAGTGTCATATCTAAAGTGTCATATCTAAAGTGTCATATCTAAAGTGTCATATCTAAAGTGTAATATCTTAATTGTCATATCTAAAGTGTAATATCTAAAGTCTCATATCTTATATGTCATATCTAAAGTGTAATATCTAAAGTGTCATATCTAAAGTGTAATATCGTAAGTGTTATATCTTAATTGTCATATAGTAAGTGTCATATCTTAAGTGTCATATCTAAAATGTCATATCTAAAGTGTAATAACTAAAGTGTCATATCTTATGTGTGATATCTAAAGTGTCATATCTAAAGTGTCATATCTTAAGTGTCATATCTAAAATGTCATATCTAAAGTGTAATATCTAAAGTGTCATTACTTAAGTGTCATATCTAAAGTGTCATATCTAAAGTGTCATATCTAAAGTGTCATATCTTAAGTGTCATATCTTAAGTGTAATATCTAAAGTGTCATATCTTATGTGTGATATCTAAAGTGTCATATCTAAAGAGACATATATAAAGTTTGATATCTTAAGTGTCATATCTAAAGTGTCATATCTAAAGTGTCATATCTAAAGTGTAATATCGTAAGTGTCATATCTAAAGTGTAATATCGTAAGTGTCATTTCTAAAGTGTAATATCTAAAGTGTCATATCTTAAGTGTCATATCTAAAGTGTCATATCTAAAGTGTCATATCTAAAGTGTCATATCTAAAGTGTAATATCGTAAGTGTCATATCTAAAGTGTAATATCTTAAGTGTCATATCTAAAGTGTAATATCTAAAGTGTCATATCGTAAGTGTCATATCTAAAGTGTCATATCTAAAGTGTCATATCTAAAGCGCCATATCTACATTGGCATATCTAAAGTGTTATATACATGTGTTAACTTTGATGTGTCAGGTAACGAGTATCATATCTAGTATCACCAAAGCGTTTATATGTTGATTCGTGATTTCAAACCTTGGAGCAGTATATTCTTTGCTGGAGTCAAAATAATCTTTCATAACATCTCTAATCTCTATTGAGGAATATATTCTTTAATTAAAAAATGTCAAATCCAATCATGACATCATGTGCATATGTTGGATTCTAGAGTTTGGCTACCATTCAATGTTAAGATAAAGACTTTAGTCAGATGTTTGCTGGTAACAGTGTGCTAGAATAGCGGTTCTCAACCTGTGGTTGCGACCCCTTTGGGGGTCACACAAGCCTTAAACAGGGTCGCCTAAGACCATCCGAAAACACATATACCCTACAGTTATGAAGTAGTAACCATTATAATTTTGTGTTCAGGGATCGCCACAACAGGGTCGCGGCACTAGGAAGGTTAAGAATCACTGTCTAGAATATAAACATAGTTTACTTTCTGAAAATATTAGTATTACGAAAAAAAGAAGTAAAAGAATTATAAAATCGTAAATAAGGGAGTATTGGATGAATTGGAATAGGTATTAGGACTTTACCATGTCGGAATGGACTCGAGGACGTCACTCACCTGTATAAGAGCATGAAGCTAATGACGCCATTTCATAACGGGGGGCCCACTTTGCCCACATGGCTTGCACAAGCGAGTCAGTGCCACTCTGTAACATTTTAAATAACAAAATGAGAAGCGATTAAAAAAAACCATTTTATTAGGTTTATCAGTTCCTTAACCAATACTGACTCTTGACTGAACAATACTGACTCTTGACTGAACAATACTGACACTTGACTGAACAATACTGACTCTTGACTGAACAATACTGACTCTTAACTGAACAATACTGACTCTTGACTGAACAATACTGACTCTTGACTGAACAATACTGACTCTTGACTGAACAATACTGACTCTTGACTAAACAATACTGATTCTTGACTAAACAATACTGATTCTTGACTAAACAATACTGACTCTTGACTAAACAATACTGACTCTTAACTGAACAATACTGATTCTTCACTAGATTAATACTGACTCTTGACTGAACAATACTGATTCTTCACTAGATTAATACTGACTCTTGACTAAATCAATGATCAACATCTTTTAAATAGCCAATGAATATATGAGAGAAAAGTTAACAAAATGATCCACTAATGCTACAATCACTCTCACCAATGCCACAATCACTCACACCAATGCTACCATCACTCACCAAATGCTACCATCACTCACTAGTGCTACCATCACTCACCAGTGCTACCATCACTCACCAGTGCTACCATCACTCACCAGTGCTATGCCGGTAATTATCCTGGACACAATGATGAGAGACGGATGGAGTTGGGCCACTAAGGGGAGCAACCCAGTAAAGACACCTGCACACACCAGGCTTGACGTCATCAGAGATCGACCTCCATGTCTGTGACGTATATAATTTATGTTAATTTATTCAGATTATATCCTCAAGGATGATTGTGAAAAAATAAAAATAAAAATGGACCAACTGACGCTAAGGTCAAGGTCTAGGTCAACTACACCGTGAATACTTCAGCCTGGTATCATCATTGACACAAAATGACATTCTAGTTGTACTAAAAACCATATTACATTCTAGTTGTACTAAAACCATATTACATTCTAGTTGTACTAAAACCATATTACATTCTAGGTGCACTAAAACCATATTACATTCTAGTTGTACTAAAACCATATTACATTCTAGTTGTACTAAAACCATATTACATTCTAGTTGTACTAAAACCATATTACATTCAAGCTATTTTTAAACAACATTACATTCTTTGTTTTACAAAAGTGCATGCTATTATTAAGCTATATTAAATTTTAGTTGTAAAACATTGTTGAGAGGCGTACCTTGTGGTAAGGTAACCAACGATGATTGGAGTGATGATTGCTCCCACATTGAAAGAAGCCAGCAAAACGCCCTCAAACACTGAACTCCAAACAAACTCCTGCAGCTGGAGGAGGGAATGATTGGAAGGTGCATCAAAGTGTTAATGAAATATAGACGAGATATGTTGATAAGATATAAACTAGATATGTTGATAGGATATAGACTAGATATGTTGATAAGATATATACTAGATATGTTTATAAGGTGAAGGCTAGACGTTTTCTTTGAGATGTTTCTATAATATATAGAATATATATTCATATAATATATAGTGTAGATATTCTATATGATATACACTAGATTCTTCTATAAGATAAATAGCAGATATGTATATAAGACATTGACCAGATGTTTCTGTAAGATTTATACACTTGATGTATCTATAACGAATAAGCTCGATGTGCCGTTAAACTTGAGACTTTATGCGTAGAAGTAAGATCTGCTGATGCACCACGTGGTCTACACAAGATTTTGATTTAGGAAAACCGAAGCAGCTATAACGTCAGCATCGTCAGCCCGCCAATGACAGTCATGTTCTCACCCATTCATATTAAATGTAGTTTTACCAAGTTATTTCGCTGTCAAATTGTCCAAAAGTAGGTAAAAAACGTGTCGTATATTGATACCATACCATTAAAACGATTGTATGCTATTGTAAGACAACACACAAGAAGCTGACTTAAACATCAAGTATCAATGCTAATGCTTAACCATTGGTGAGTGATGCTAGCATGCGGCTATTTAGCGACCTGAGTGCGGCTCGGCCAGTCGGCCACAACGCGATTTCGACTCCGAAAAACAAGATTCTTGACTGATTCCTGAAAAGAGATTTGGCTCTCAAAAAATGGTTTAATCGTCCTGCTGCTGATTGTTGGCTCTTTTAACTTGTCAGTTTGGCGACCACTGGCTTAAGGCATATACCATGCCATGGTACCAATGACAGATCTATGAGGCCTAAATATGATATATGACATAATTAATTTAATATAGCAACCAGACAACCTTTCCTGCCCAAACCCAATGTTGTGTTGGTTCGCCCACGGCTGCTTAACATAAGAAAACCTGTGTGTTGACGTGAACAGGCATCACGTGGGCCCGACACGTGACACTGAAGGACATGGGAAGTGTTTGTGGGCAGACAAAGTTACGGAAGTTTGACCAGAACACGGCACGCCCGGTAATGTAACCCCTGGCCTGATGGTTCCTACGCACTGCCGTCAGAGACAAGTGGCAACATCACTGGAATGTCAGGTACGGTATATGTGAAGGGGAAATATTAAAATCAGGTCTGAGAAACAGACAAACCACAGACAAACCAGTCTTTGAACATGGGCGCCCGCAGGGGGGGGGAAGGGGGCACTTGCCCCCCCCCCCGGATTGATTGCATACAATTTTTTAGACAAAAATAGACAAAAAATGTATTAAAGTAAAGAGAAAATAAAGAGAAAGCAACTAAGCTGATGTCCTGTCCGTTCGTTCACCATACAAATACGCTACAGTAAATTAAAACTACATTAAAACATTACCAAAAACTACCCCCCCCCGGAAAGTTAATCGATTTTTTGCCCCCTCGTAGAAAGTTTTCTGCGGGCGCCCACGTTTGTGGACATCCTTTAGACACATACAGCAGGGGCACTTAACTCTCCCGCGGCGCTGCACATCCTCTTCGTTTCAGTACCTTTCTCGAAACTCATCTCCATGTCCGCCCCTGCCCATCTTGATTTCAAAAGGTGTTTTCCGCGCCCCCTCCCAGGATAAAATCATGCTAATAAAAAAATGGAAATAAACCTGAATTTCTGGTTCTTCCCACACCGTTTAAGAACCCTTGAGATAAAGCTTTAAATGGAAATGTGGAGAAATAGTTCAATGAAAATCACAAAATATATATTATGTGAATTGCAAGACTTCCGTTAGTAGACTGTATGGAAACATAGTAGATGAACTTATGAATATATAGATAAGATGAAGTTATGGATACATAGATTAGATGAAGTTATGGATATATGGATTAATGGAAAGTAATGAATACATAGATTATGTGAAGCTATGTATACATGGATTAGGTGAAATTATGGATACATGGATTGATTGAAAGTAATGGAGACAAACTTAATTGTGATTTTTCAATATGTTATAGATCAGATTTATTCTGTTCTGTTATTTCTATGTGCAGATCTATCAAAATATTAGAAATTTACATAAGTTTGAGTTATCATTATCCAACAGGTATTTGAACCCCATATGTAAAATCTAACAGGTGCTTTACCACCATGTCGTTGTACAACTGGTATGTTGTCCACTGTACAACCGTAGCTAATCACAACACCAAGGTCTTTAGTTACGTCTTGAGAACAAACCTGTCTCACAAGTCGGCGGTCTGACTTCAGTGAAAGATGTGGGCCACAACAAGCTCGTGACGCCGCGGACAAGTGTGGAGCTGTCACTGGGGATTAACATCTGTCAACTGAGTCTGTGCATCACGTGATCAGATGGGGAGATTAACGTGGTAGACTTGGGATTAACGGAATTAGATCATGCATTCACGTGGGCTCACTAGCTGACCTTTGTGACCTCTAGGTCAATGTTTGTCATGCATCGATACAAGAATATTACAGTGATGGGGGATCAGGAAACTGTGATAGGTGGGTGGGCAAGGAAACTGTGATGGGTGGCCAGGAAACTGTGATGGGGTGGGCCAGGAAACTGACATTCGGCTTACAAATTTTAATTAAATTAAGCAACTATTGCAGCTCTGCACTTTTGACTGCCATGGTATCATGAAAGCAATGGTATTATGACAGCCATGGTGTTATGACAGCTGTTCTATTATGACAGCTATTTTCTTACCGTTATGGTCCGGTTGATTTCCGATGAAGAATTCCCGACATCGTTGGCCACAAATGTGTCTTGGGTTAAATTATGGACAGCAACCTGGGCTGTCGTCTTTAACGTCATGCCCACCACGGCTATGCCCATACACTGCCTCAGTGCCGTCTGCACAAAGCGCGCCAGGAAGCACATGTAGGCCAGCACCCAGCGACATGACGTGTATTTGGTGCAGAAGGTTTCTCTGGGAGGTTTTGATCTATCTGGATCTTCTTTGGCACATTCATCCTCTTTCTGTTCATGCTTCTGCTTCTTCGATAACGGATGGAACTTACTGGTGACAAGATGGTAGATGTTTGAATAGTGGTGGCGATCACTGGAGCTGTTCCGTTTCACGTATGGGTGTGGTAGGTCGGCTTGCAACGGATGCTGTTGGTCGGCTTGCAAGCCATTGTTTAGATCATGCGTCGCTGATTCCGGAAGGTCATCCACGCATGGCTGTAAATTAAGATTGGGGTGTATGCTTGCAATTTCCAATGAACATAGTGAGTCAGATTTGCCTTTGGGAGTTTGGATTTCGTTGCAATTGTGTAAATTATCGGGATACAAAGCGTGTAGATGTGCGATGTCTAAACACACGGAATCTTCAAGTGCGTTATGAGCAAGTGTCAATGCGTCATCAAGAGTCAGTGCAGTGTGTTGATCTTTGATATGACTCATTGGTTCAATCGCGGATGTAGTCTCGCTACAAATGCCGGAATCTGATTGGTTGGGATAGCACGGCTGACTATGTCTGTGATCTAAACGAGACCAGTTTGATTGGGGGAGGGAGATGGCACCCTCTAAAGTGTCATCTATGTAACAAGAAACACTGTTGCCTAGCAGCCAGTGCCCATTTTCATGACGAATTCGTATTGAATGCGTGTCTCCAACGTCCATGTTTCCACAACATCCACATTTGGTGTCAGCCATGACGAGTGACATGTCCACTTGACCTAGATTAGCAGTCTCGTGGCCATCATTAGTCTCTGGTATACAGTCGTTGTTGACATCGTTGCCTGGCAACGTTGGGCTTTTGCTCTGCATGGTGTCAGCGTGTTGCTCCTCAACAGGACTTTCTCCCTCACTGCTGACGTCACGACCTCCCGAGCCGACATTAATCTCCCCTTCCCCTTGGCTCATCACCGAAAAACGTGGTGTCACCTCCCCTTGGCTCATCACCGAACAACGTGGTGTCACCTCCCCTTGATCAAGGCCTGTTGCCTTGTTGTCCAGCCTACTCGTGTGGTTTTTCATCTTTGAGCCAGCCAAGACACAGTCAGTTGGTGAGTCACTAATCAACACAAGCCTCATCATACAATCTCTGGTCATCAAGATGTGTTTCAACAAAATTGAATGTAGCCACCAGTTGTTGCCCCTGTCTTATAGGTTTCGTTGCCTCCCTTCCTTGATGAAAAGATAGGAAAATGAAAGTTACCGAGGTGCAAAGAAACTTTGAGGTGAATGCAAGAAACTGTGATGTGCAAGAAACTGTGATGTGCAAGAAACTGTGATGTGCAAGAAACTGTGATGTGCAAGAAACTGTGATGTGCAAGAAACTATGATGTGCAAGAAACCGTGATGTGCAAGAAACTATGATGTGCAAGAAACTGTGATGTGCAAGAAACTGTGATGTGCAAGAAACTGTGATGTGCAAGAAACTGTGAAGTGCAAGAAACTGTGATGTGCAAGAAACTGTGAGGTGCAAGAAACTGTGAGGTGCAAGAAACTGTGATGTGCAAGAAACTGTGATGTGGAAGAAACTGTGATGTGCAAGAAACTTTGATTTGCAAGAAACTGTGATGTGCAAGAAACTGTGATGTGCAAGAAACTGTGATGTGCAAGAAACTGTGATGTGCAAGAAACAGTGATGTGCAAGAAACTGTGAGGTGCAAGAAACTGTGAGGTGCAAGAAACTGTGAGGTGCAAGAAACTGTGATGTGCAAGAAACTGTGATGTGCAAGAAACTGTGATGTGCACGAAACTGTGATGTGCAAGAAACTGTGATGTGCAAGAAACTGTGATGTGCAAGTAACAGTGAGGTGCAAGAAACTGTGATGTGCAAGAAACTGTGATGTGCAAGAAACTGTGAGGTGCAAGAAACTGTGATGTGCAAGAAACTGTGATGTGCAAGAAACTGTGATGTGCAAGAAACTGTGATGTGCAAGAAACTGTGATGTGCAAGAAACTGTGATGTGCAAGAAACTGTGATGTGCAAGAAACTGTGATGTGCAAGAAACTGTGATGTGCAAGAAACTGTGATGTGCAAGAAACTGTGATGTGCAAGAAACTGTGATGTGCAAGAAACTGTGATGTGCAAGAAACTGTGATGTGCAAGAAACTGTGATGTGCAAGAAACTGTGATGTGCAAGAAACTGTGATGTGCAAGAAACTGTGATGTGCAAGAAACTGTGATGTGCAAGAAACTGTGATGTGCAAGAAACTGTGATGTGCAAGAAACTGTGATGTGCAAGAAACTGTGATGTGCAAGAAACTGTGATGTGCAAGAAACTGTGATGTGCAAGAAACTGTGATGTGCAAGAAACTGTGATGTGCAAGAAACTGTGATGTGCAAGAAACTGTGATGTGCAAGAAACTGTGATGTGCAAGAAACTGTGATGTGCAAGAAACTGTGATGTGCAAGAAACTGTGATGTGCAAGAAACTGTGATGTGCAAGAAACTGTGATGTGCAAGAAACTGTGATGTGCAAGAAACTGTGATGTGCAAGAAACTGTGATGTGCAAGAAACTGTGATGTGCAAGAAACTGTGATGTGCAAGAAACTGTGATGTGTAAGAAACTGTGAGGTGCAAGAAACTGTGAGGTGCAAGAAACTGTGATGTGCAAGAAACTGTGATGTGCAAGAAACTGTGATGTGCAAGAAACTATGAGGGGCAAGAAACTGTGAGGTGCAAGAAACTGTGAGGTGCAAGAAACAGTGAGGTGCAAGAAACAGTGAGGTGCAAGAAACAGTGAGGTGCAAGAAACAGTGAGGTGCAAGAAACAGTGAGGTGCAAGAAACGGTGAGGTGCAAGAAACCGTGAGGTGCAAGAAACAGTGAGGTGCAAGAAACAGTGAGGTGCAAGAAACAGTGAGGTGCAAGAAACAGTGAGGTGCAAGAAACAGTGAGGTGCAAGAAACAGTGAGGTGCAAGAAACAGTGAGGTGCAAGAAACTGTGAGGTGCAAGAAACTGTGAGGTGCAAGAAACTGTGAGGTGCAAGAAACTGTGATGTGCAAGAAACTGTGATGTGCAAGAAACTGTGATGTGCAAGAAACTGTGATGTGCAAGAAACTGTGATGTGCAAGAAACTGTGATGTGCAAGAA